CTCTCTCTCTCTCTCTTTCTCTCTTCCTCCCGTCATACTTTTCTCTGTATACTTTCAAATATAGTTACTTTATTTTATTATAATTACCGTATAATTTTTAAAATACAAATTTTTTATTTTTCATTTTTCTCAATATGCTACGTGAAACTAAATACCAGACAGAAAAAGTATGCTTAGTACATGCGCAACCTTGCCGTATCCACGTAAAGACGCATAAAGGAATACTTATTAGCGATACAAAACAACCCCGACAATGACAGTCCGCTTGTACGTTCACTCGCAGCGTATCATTAATAGCAATTTATCCCGCGAGGGACGTTAAAATCATACAACCGTACGTATCGCAATTTCAGAATATTCTCGGAAAATATTTTTGTCCCCGGGCCCGCGAAATGAAAGCGACGTCACGCGACACGTTGTCCAAGAAGTTGTACCTTCGTCTTGCTAGGATGTAGGACATGATCCCTACGTGCTCACACGCGACGTCGCGTGCAACATCGAAGAAGTCTTTCTGACGTCATCGAAGAACGTCATTAACCGTGGTAGTTAAATAATAAATCGTAAGTACAAGAAAATTTCGCGATCTTAAATGGAATTTTACATTACTCTACATGTATATATATATATAGAAATGGAGAAGCAAATTGTTGCTGAATAAAGATATCCGAGTAACTACCTAAGCAGAACAATCAGTCATTATGATGTTAAAATGACTCCAAAATGATCATTAAAAGTCATGTTTCAATCATTTCCGATTCATTTTAATGTAATTTTGACATTATCGTGACTTATTGTTCTGCTCTACGAAAAAGGAATAATCGTCAACCTAATATAAAAAAGAGAAACAATTTATAAATTCTAACTCTAGTTTAAATAGAGTAAAATTCTTGGAGTAGAATCCAATAATTCTTGGAAAGTCTGTTAAGCAATTAAGCATTCAGAAGTTTAATTCAAAATTTGCAAACTGATTTTGAAGAGATTTTTCTCGTGCAATTTATTTCGCATTTGCGTTTGCGCTTCGCTCTTAAAATTAAATAGAGCGATATTAATGCGAGAGATGAGGTCTCCACGCATCTCCCGTTCTTGTCTCGAGGTCAAAAGGCGTGCACGTTCTCGCTCGCAAACGTGTCCTTGCACAATAGTAATTCGACCTGTTCTGTCAAGAACGTAACATTTCATTAATTGGAAAGTTGTCCAACATTAAGAGAAGCGTAGTGAGGTCGTAATGTACGTTGCTATTCTCCGAACAAATGGAAGTTGGCAGAACTGTTTCGAGAGTTTCATTTTCTCCATTTACGAAATTATAGCGAAGCAAATGTTATTTATCGACGAAATAATTCAGTTCTGCGTCACAGCTTGTTCTATTTACGCCAATTTTAATTAGAGAAAACGCTACAGTCCTGCGAAAAACAATTTCAAAACGATTTCTTTGAACTACCTTGTTTAGAAAAAAAAACACGCTTTCTAAGAATTATTTTCGTATTAATTAGATTATATAGAGATATTGAGATACAATGTGGTGAAGATTAAATCAGTACATGTTTAGTAAAAATCTTAAAAATCATCAGAATTTTCATATTTGAAAAAGAGAGTTTTTTTTCAAATGACTGGCTTGCTTTGAATACAGCACGTGCATGAAGTTGATTTCGAAGGACTTTGCCTTTTAAGTAGAGTAACTAATTACTCTCGGTAGTGGAGCTAGAAAAGAGTCCGAGATAAAAATCGTTCAAGAAATCCCACGAGTTTCGTGACGGAAAGTGTTACTTCAGTGACTTCCCACGCAGATAATAACTTCAGTTCTGCATAAATTTAGATGTCGAATAATAAGTCGACACTCATCTACGAGATGCTTTAATTTTAAATATTCATCCCTAACATGGAATCGACCTTTTTTCTGCTAAAATACCCAGATGCAAATATTTTTTAAGCTGCAAATTTTTATACGACATTTAGATAAAAATGTCAGATCAGTTCATTTAATTTTAAGCAAATTTTGCTCTCTTGAAATTTTTTTTTCGAATTAAACGTTTTGAAAGAAAAATGAGCTTATAAGTTTGATAAAATCTGTGTTTTAAACCAAAACTGATAATCTTGAGGTACTCTGTATACACAGCACTTATTATGTAGCATGCAAAGAATATTTCAACAGTTTTAGACACGGTCTGTAGGCGAATTTCTTCTTGTCAAAATTCAATTGGATTGACGAAACATCAATAAGCAACGAAGCTACATGAAACTTACAAATTGCTGCTAATTTGATAGGCAAAGATACATTTTAAGTTAATTTAACTCACCAATAACAATTTTTACATTTTCTCTAATTAATCGAATATTTCATTCATCGAAACATGATTTCTTTCATACGTGACCATTTCTGTTCATGAAATTTTGCTCACGCTGTAGGTAATTGTTATTATTGTCAAATCACAAACTTTCCATTAAAAAGATATTCTACTATATAAATTAAAAACCTAAATCTGATATATAAATCGACAAACAAATTAGTCCTCTGGAATTGTAAACGCCAGAGGAGCTGAATGCTCATCTTCGTGTTATTTTAAATGCCATGTAGTCAAAGTTTAAATAGGTCGACTTCGAGGCTTAAAACCGCAGAGGCAAACATAAAAATTGTTGAGTTCAATAACAATAGCCACAACGTGGCCAGCAACGTCAGTGAACGTTCAACGATGCGCACGAGATGTGCATCGCGAACGGCTATTGCCAGGTCGTCACGTTGCTCTTCTCTTCTTCATGGGACATTGTGCTTTTACGGAATTGACGATTCAAATCGCGTGGGCTCCTTTGAAAAATACCCACCGCGCACAGGGACACCAGGTATTGAAGCTACATATGTACGTGCTCGCGAGAAACGTTCCACTCGAGTGGATGGAATTTGAGCTTGTCTCACACGTATCCGTGTATATATTTCGCATGCACGATTTAATGACACGATTGTAACTTCATAGCGCAAAAAATAGTGTGCTCCAATTTTTATCGACGAACTTTTTATTGGACTTCAATATTTCATAATCTCTGCCTAAATTGATCTTTTAATAGTTTTCATTCTAATTTAATTTTCTTGATGCATATAAAGTTTCTCTTTTCCAATTCAAAAATTACAGGATAACAAAAAATTTGGTCACAACGTATTGTGTTTATCAAATCATTAGTAATCTTACGATTCTTACGTATATTACAAAAAAAAAACAAACTCTAGAGTACTAATTATATTTTATTAAATATTAAATAATAATAATTTACATTCAAAATTAACTTTATGGAATATTAACTTTTATACAAACTTTAAGGCGTTTCGGAAATGCATCAGCGCATCTTTCTATGGATAAATTTTCCCAAGCAGACAATAGAATCTTCAGCCTATTAATCAAAAAATTTTTTAGTACAGTTTTTTGATATTTAATAAGATATAACTAACACACTGCAGAGCTTTTCTAAATATACATTACTACTATGTAGCAAGCTAACGCTATTTATCGCCATTTATTTTAATGCCAAATAATGTCAACTTGCTGACTAATGATTTGCTTGAAACATACGAAACTTCGTGACGAAACTTTTTGTCACCCTATATACGTGATATAACTTTTAAACGAATCGAAGAGCTGAAGAAGAATTTTTTTCTCAGATGCCCATTTATATGCTAATGAATTGAAATGAAGAGTCGTGACTAAGGTATGCACATATGAGAAGAAACGTCTATGAAGAAATGACCTATTTCTTGACTGGCGTGTGGTGACTCGGATACAAGAGAGCAGCAGGCGCGTTCTCGGTTGTTGAGTTATCAAGAATTTATTACTTGGCTTGATCAAGCGAAAGGTCGAAGACAAGTGGCCGTACCTGTGCTTTTTGCGCGACGGCGAGGGCGAATTCTTCGTCAGGCGCGGGATCGTCGGGTGTCATGTTGGTACCCCCCGCTGCACCGCCGCCGCCAACGGTACTGCTAAGGGGTCTGACCGAACCCCCCGTCGAATACGGCCAATTACCAACAAGATTGCCACCTCCGATGGATTCGCGCTTTCCTGAAAAAGGGAAGATAAGTGTAACATTATAGAGACATGTATCATATATATGATGTATTACATCTATAGAGGGAGTTTAAAGGATATCTACAGTCGAGATAAAGTAAGAATTAAATGCCCACATTTAGTGCTGTACATGAGAAGAATGCAAGTCGTCATCTCAATGACATTTGAATTTCTATTAGTAAAGTCGCCTATTATAGGATAAGCTCCTAATATGAGATAAGTTTTTGTTAAACTAAAAAGCGCATATGATTGATTTTCTGTCATGAACGTTTTACTTAGAGTGAAATTTAATAGAAAATTTATTATTAGATCATGCGTGTAGCCGTTGCAAAAAAAAGATTTTTGAAATTGGATGTTGTCAAATTTTATTGAGGTTAGTTTTTAAATCTTGTTTTATTATATAAAATAAGTGATAATAAAGTCTGCATGCAGTGACGGAATAGAATCATATTGATAGGAAAACACGTGATATTGATTTGTTTAATTGTAAAGATTTTAAATTTGATGATCGTGAAACCGCAAGACGTGAAAATCGTAATATGAGATACTTAGGATATTCCTAGCTACACAATAATATAAGAATATTTAAACAATTCAATATACCAAAGTGTACTATCGAATGATATGTTAAAAGTGGAGATTCTATTATTGTTAAAATTTTTCACACACATACACGCACACATGCATACACATTAAAACATTGTATAATTATGTATAACATTTAAATTTTTTGTTGCTACTTTAATGTAATATAATAAAAACGTATATAAAAAAAAGCTTATCTTAATTTTTTTCCTTAAATTCCTGTTATGAGATATCACTTCATATAAGAAAATCGTTGTGATTCATGTTAGGAATCCTTTTTTTGAATGAGCAAAATCGGCACTTTTAATAAAAAATTTTACACACAACAAAATATAGCTATTACCGATTGCTAACTTTTGGCGACGAAACTTAAATATATTTTCCAAATTTGACATGAAGGTAGAAGTTAAGATTACAAAGTAAATAAATTACAAGTGTTTAAAAAATGGTATTTCATAATAAGCGAATTTAATGATTTCTAATAGCGTGTTGTTCTAATTATATTTTCATTTTGTTTCTTTTATGGAAAATGAATTAAAATATAGTACGTCAAAATTTTTTTGGTTTAAATATAAAAAGGACCAATAGATAAATGCATTTGTCAAGCAATTAGTTCACTTTTTTTTGACAAAAACATTTATTAAAACATTTAAGTAATGCTGTAAGTAATAAATTTATAGTTGTTAAATATTTGACATCATGTACGTAATTTAAAACAAGTTTATTAAAATTAAAAAATTTTCAAAAGACTAATTCTATTATTTTATAAATATAAAATTTTTGCTTTTTATATTTTATTGTTACAACAAAACACAAATTTTTGCGCTAGTCTTTTTATTATGCTTCCTTTTGCTGCTTTTTTCTTGAATCGTCTACTGGCTGAGAGTTAATTGAGTTTTACTTTATTCAAGCGAAACATGAGTATGTAATAAATTTGCGGCTCTCTGTATTGCAGTGTATATCAATCAGCGTAGCCAGTAAAAGAGCGAGGACAAGTGTCACGAGGACAAGAGTTATTGCTGCGGAAGAATGTGCATATATCCTTCCGATATATTCGTGTGATATATCCCACGGATATCTCCCAGCCATTTGTTCAGCTAACTGTCTTGGTTAATAGCCTTTTGAAACGCATCTCTATCGACTCACTTAGGTATAAGTTATTATTTGTACGTACACTGAGAAAAAAATATAATCAATTTTAATAAATATTTAGTTCAATACACTACCAGCTCAACATTTACTTACAGTAAATAAATATTTGTTCAATAAAAAAAAAAGATTGTTAAATTAAATTAACATTTCTTATATCAAATAAATATATCTA